TAAGGAAGAGGCTTTTATTTTGTAGAGTCCCTTTAGTCTTATTTCAAAAGTCTATCACGGATTTGTGTCAAGGGAAGGGTCATGCCCAGCAGTGATATAGAATCCATTTCTAAATATGAAATCACTGGTTTTCCATGTTATTGGGTGAATAGATGCTGTATTAGAGCGTAAATGGGAGACTTTTATTGTGAAATTTGCTCTGGGGTATGTTTTGAAAAGGTCCCTAGAGTCTAATAGAAACAAGCTGGTAGAGTTTGTGTCATAATGCTGGGCCATTTGCATCAATTAATACACGAGTACAATATGGAGGCTTTTATTTTGAAGAGTCAGTGGAGTCTTATTTTGAAAGTCTAGCAGGGTTGTGTGTAGAGAAAAGGGTCAGACCCAGCAGTGATACTTGATGACTTTCCAATCGTTAAACACTCTTTTCCCTTGTTATTAGGGCAGTAGATGAAGTGGCAATGGGAGGCTTTTATTTTGAAATTTTCTCTGGGGTGTGTTTTGAAAACCCCCTAGAGTCTCATTTTTAAAAAAAAGTGGTTGAGTTTGGGTCATAATGTTTAGCCATATGCTGGGAAAAAATATGAGTTTAATGTAGGGGCTTTTAGTTTGAAGGGTCCCCGGAGTCTTATTTTGAAAGTCTATCAGGGTTGCGTGTGAAGGGAAGGGTCATGGCCCGTAGTCATATTGTATCCACTTCCTAATGTTAAATCAGTGTTGTCTCCCTCCATTAGATTAAAATGTGCTGTTTAAAGTGGTGGAGGTAAAATCTCTTTGAAGCTCGGTTACCTTGACAACGCTTAACAAGCCTGTCAGTGACAGAGAGACATGCCCTTCACTTTCGTTCCTTTCCTCTCAGGCTTTTTTGATTGGGAATATCAGCTCCGAACAAACAAGTGCTGAAGACAAACCGTAAATGGTATCTAAAAAATTCTTTCAGTCTAAGCGACAGCTATCCTTTGTCTCCAATTGGGGTGACTTTCATGGCTGTAGCTCATTCACAGCCTTAATGGGAAGGAGAAATATAAAGGTTTGTAAATCCTGCTGGTCTCATTAAATAACATGCAGCTCAATGGTAGAGCAGAACTCTCAAAAGCAAAACTTTCCCTGCGAACAAACGAGCGGTGAGCCAAAACCGTAAAAGGTATTCAAAAAATTCTTTCACCGTGAGCGTTGGCAATCTTTGGACTACAACTGGTGTAACTTTCATATTTCTACAATATTTGGTCTAGGCGTGGTGACGATGTAAAAAAGTGTATAATTGTCAAAATCTTGATTTTGGGGTTCGGACAGATTTGTTACCCCTGAACAAACCTTTTTCCTAGCTAAACGATAAAAGATATCGACACACTTCCTTCAATGTGAGTGCTAGGAAGGTCTGAGGAACAACTTCCACCAGGCTCATGTTGCTAGGTCGAATGGTTCCCGAATGGGAGCGATACGAAAAAGTCTGTTTTTTTTTATTTTCAGTTCGGATTTTCAGAGAGCTCTCATTGGATTTCTATGGGGGAAGTGTGGACTTCTTCGTGGTCTGGGCCAAACTGTCGGAAAACTGTAAATCCCACACAAATGAGGGTTACATTTCCTGAATCCTGACAAAAATCCCTACGTTTTGATGTAAAATGTATCTAGATAGAGTAAAAAATGAGCGAGTGAGTTGAAGCTGTTCGGTATGAGTGAAATGTTTGAAAACGCTAGAGTGGCACACTCTAGCAGCTGAACATTCCGTCCATAGACTTCCATTATAAATTTGAAAATCTGTAAAAATTGTTTAAAAGTTTGAAGCTTCACTGAAGTAAAACTGTAAAAGTTAGCTGAAAGCCGAGTTAAACAGTAATAGCAAAAAGATACGGAAACATTTTAAAAGTTGAATGGTGTTTCTAGCTGAAAGTATGCTGAAGTAGTTAAAGGTCAAAGATGATGAAGTCTTAGCTGAATTTTGCTGAAATCTAAGAATTCTACATGCATTTCAATGGGACAAAAAAATCGCAGAAAAAGTTGAATATCGCGAAAACTACAAAAAATATCTTTACCAAAAGACATAGCACAATTCTCCTGAACAAGCTGAACGTTTTGATACCAAAATTGTTGAAATCGGTGGAAAACTGCGGGACTAGTTAGAGTCAGAAAAATTTGAAGTGAACAACAATAATTGGGAATGCATAAGCATTCCCACTTGAATATTGGTTGTTCTTTAACTAGGATAGAGCTGCCGCTGTACTACGAGGTATTTCAGGACAGTCTATGTTTATTTAATTGTTGCCGTCTAGCTTTCTGATAGTTCCCACTACTGCCAGCAGATGGTGCCAAGACTGTTTATGTTTGCTCATTTCGCCCCAGGGCTGGAGTTCTATTAAGGCTTAAAAAGAACCATCTACACATAATCAGGACAGATGCTGGGATCATATAACTGTATTTTCTTAAAGATCAAATGGAGTTTGGTCTTTTTTTATATAGCCTTTTAGGTGTCTATGCACCTTTAAAACCAGTTAAAGTAGAAAATAGTCTGCATTGTTTTCTTGCTTGCCTCAGTAAAGCTTCATCTTTCAGACTTGCTACACATGTTAGCATCATGCTGCCCTGCGCTGCTCCTAATTTCATGAAAATATCTCTAGTTTTTAAAAGACAGTTTTGATTTGGTATCAGCATGAGTGGTCAATTGAATATATGCAACTCTATTCCATTCCATAACCAAACAAACCGCTGCTCAAAAACCTTTTAACAGCCACATTCTGGTTAAGATAAAAGCAGTTAAAGCAGCAAACAGAACAAAAGTAACCAATATAGCATAATTAAGGCAGACCCAGTCGGCTTCTGTTAGTTACCTCCACTGTAAAGCTTGGTAATAGGCAGCATAAACTCTGGTGATGCATTTCAGCCACATTTCAAACAAACATTTTGATTATCCCAGGAAACAAACAGCTTTCTATATCTGCATATTTAAAGTTTTCACACACTGTCTTGATTGATGTTTTCTTCCATTCCTCTGCAGACCTGATGGGCCTTTTTTGCATATCTTCCTCTATATTACCTAGAGACTTCTGCCACCCACTATCTTTATGATCCCATTTTTAGAAGCTACTGGAAAGCGGATGCATAGAGCAGTTTCATTTTGAAAAGGGCATGGTAATTATTGTAATATCACAATACTGTGCTATTCTCTCTCTTAAGAGCTGTTCGTGGATTTATTTATTTTTTTAATCACTTATTGGTTCTAATATTGCTTCAGTTAAAGACTTAATGATTTCCATGATTCCAGCTTTTGTTCATGGTAGATGAGCATGGGGTAAAATAACTATAACTGTAAGCAAATGTGTAGGTGTCTTAATTTGTAAATGTAATTGAATAAATGTAAATAGATTTATGATTTGCATTTATTCCTTTTCAACTCATACATAAAAGTGATCCTGAGCTCTCTATTGTTGTGCTGCTATAGGCTTAGACTTCTGGAGGACATAGGGACCCCCATTTCATCATTCTGCTTCATTCTATCTCTATTCTCCCTCTCTGCAGAATCTGTTAGTTTAATCTCTAACTTTATGCTCTTTCTGCTTTTTCTCAGTAGCTTTGCCTCGTCTGTTCCTGTTTAGCTGTGACTCCATCCTGAAGCTTCTGACTCCTTGAACCCCAGTGGCCTCAGCAGATGGCCGCTCACACAGAGCCTGCTTCTACTTTTATGATTGAATAATAAAGACACAAATGTCCTACCCATTATATGGTCCAATCAAAAACTAATATTACTTCAATTAAAAAAGCTGCTTTAAACAAAAAAGACTGAATTTCTATCAATTAAAACATTAAATCAAAGAAAAGCAGTGTTCAAATATATATTTTTTTGAGTCTCAAATATATTTTTGCATTCAAATACTTTCTTTCTTTGATTGAAAATTTATTTTTTGATTGAAGTGAAGGTTTTTTTTAATTGAAGATATATTTTTTTGATTGAATGATAAAGAAACAAATCTACCTTCATACATTTGGAGCACAACTTTCAGGTCAAATCAACTGATAAGGAGTGAAACAGTTTTATCAATGAATTTGCACTTTTTATAAAATTAATGATTTCTTATCTGTAAATTTGAGACTTGTGCTCCTAAATTTTTTACTTTTACTTTGAAATTTGTGATTGGTAATTTTGGTATATTTGAGATTTGTACTTATAAATGTGTTATTTGATATTAAAATGTTTCATTTCTATTTTTGGTAAATATGAGACTTATACTTGTATTTATACTAAGATTTATACATTATACTTACATTTCAGATTCGTACTTAAAAACTGGAGATTGGTACGCATACATTTGTGATTTGTAATTGTAAATTTCAGACTCATACTTTTGGTAAATTTGAGATTTGTACTCATACATTTTCGATTTTTACTCATAAATCTGCGATTCGTTTTTACATATTTGTGATTTTTCCTTTTTTTCTTGCTTATTCTTCAATTTGGGATTAGTACTGATAAATTGGGACTTTTACATGTATGGTTTCAAAAATGGACATTTATAATTTGTGCTGGTAACTTTGGGCTCTACTTGTATTCTAACTGGAAACATCTAATGTCACATGTATGTATGGGCTGACAGCAAGGAACAGATTTATATGTATTCATAACTACAATTTTAGACAGCTATGCATTTGTTTCTATTGACAGTTATGTTAATCATAGATGCAGCATTAAGGGAAGGGTGTGATGTATGTGACTGTTTTTCATATCTCATTCCAGAAGGCTAAATGGTTAGTAAGCCTTGGACAAGTCACAGTCAATCACAGGAAAACAGACATAAGCAGCCATCAACTCCTTAAGTTGACCAATGAACCTTATATGCATGTTTCTGAGCTGTGGAAAGAAGCCAGAGATTCCTATCAAAGACCTTCCAGTTGGAGGGAAAAAAGGACTAAAAGTTTTTTTATATAACCAAGCTGAAATGTATGAATGATCATTTGTCCAAGGAGACTCCGGGACTCAGATAAGAGAATATATATTTTTTTTTACTTACCAGGTGTGATTTCTATCACTGTGTCTTGTCTCTCTGGAGGAAAAAGGACCTTGGGAGGCTGGGTCGTCTGCAGGGCTGAGGGGAAAACACAGAGACACCAAGAGCAAAACTGATTATTCAGTAACATCCACTTGCCATTTCACAACAATCTTGTTTCAATTAAAGGGGTCATAGAATGATTCTATAGGGTATTTGGTGTTGTCCTTAAGGTCTCTGAATAGGGTGTGTAACATTGGTTGGGTTGAAAATGGCATACTTGCTGTTTTTATGCGCCATAATGCAAGCCTGGTTAAAAGCCCTAGAATGAAACGACAGGTTTTCTTCCTTTTATGGTTTGCTCATGAATATTTAGATGAGCTGTGCGCTGATTGGTTGGTTTACAACGAGCAAAGCTGCTGAGCAAAGACGCATCATAGCAACAAGCACTCACTCACTGAAACATCAAATTGTTGATATGGTCGTCCTATTTTTCCCGGAAATGTCCTACTTTTCATTTAATTAAAAAAATGTTCGGGGGGAATTTCAAAATCGTCCAGGATTTGGGTCGACTACAGTGCAACCCCCCAAGAGCAACCACCTTGCATAGTGTAAAATCCAATATGATTTATTTAACTCGCGGGCATCCATGAACAACTATCTATATCAGGGAGACTCCCTGAACTTCCGTGAGACTTGGGATGTCTGTTAGCGGCCCCCAGCCCCCCTCCTCTGGCTGAGGACGGGCGGCTCATGGCTCTCTGCTGAGCTGCCCAGCAGTCGACACTTCATACCATACAAACTTACTAAAATCTTTGGCGTGTGTGTGTGAACAGCTATACAACAGAAAGCAAGCATCTACAGCCACTGGGAAAAAATGTGTGGCGCCATTAGAAAGACCTGGCCTTTGCTTTACTTGTTCATTGCTGACCTGCACTTTTACAAGGCCAAGCATAAAAAGACTGGACCTCATCAGCTGTCAGAGTCCACAGCATGTCTTGTTGAAGATTTCTTCCTGTCGATGTACAGACAGACATGCTGACTGCCTTTGTTTTTTTTAGACCGTCAAGATAAAGAAATTCCACACGAAGCGCCTTTCAGTTTGGTTTTGTTTCCCTCTGAAATGCTCTGTGCTGTTCTGTTCAACACCTTTCCCCTTGTCAAGTCCTTTTGTCTGTAAATCATATGATCTATTTCACATTTCAACTCCTCCTAAATGCTGACTGACATAAGCCACTGATAGTAAAACAACACAAAAAATCTGACAAGAGTGGCGTGCAGTATCAGACATTCCTGAATAAAGATCTAGTGCAATTATTTCCCCTCAAAATTCAACTTAATACTCAATAAATGTAATTTGTAAGACTGGGAAACAGCAGAGGTTAAAAGATGCTAAGTAAATCAACTAAAGGACCATGTGACATCTTAAAACCTGGAAAGGCAGAGGGTGGTAACTTTAATCAGAGGCCCAGCCAAAAGAGCCATGCTCAGTCTAGAGGAGCTCAACAAAGTCAGTAAAAGCTGCTGACTGCTGTTAGCGGCAGGCTTAAGGCCTGGTTATCCTCCCGCAGCAGTGTGTCACAGTGAGCTTGTCACGGATATTTTTGATTTATGCCCAATATTGAAGTGTGTTCTGTGCTATGTTATTCCACGCCACAATGCAAGAGGGACAATCAGGAACTAGCTGTGCGTCTAGATACGGCCGAGGTGGTGAGGAAGTGAGGGCAAGTTTGTCCGACAACGGAGGGACATGAGGGCGAAAAAGAGCGGGGATCCAGGTGGAAAAAGGGTCCCAGCGTTCTCGTGCACCTCGCTCTTCTAGCTGGTCCACCTTCACCAGTCATTTTTTGGACATACAAACAAAACAAGCCAGTGTTGGTACATGATCTGCTCAGGCCCTGCTTCATGCCAGTGACGTTAAGCTAGCCTAGTAAATTAGCCCCAACCACCAGCGGCCAAAATCATTTTTGCCGGAGTACAAAATATAGAAATTAAAACAACAAGAAAAGGGAAAAGAAGAGAGGGACAAAACATCGAACAAATAATGGATGTCTATTCTATGAAAATATCTGTATCTATATAATGGGTCTGTATTATGAGTTGTCTTCTCAATTCAGAGGCCCCCCTGCCTTTCTTTGCCTATGGACCCAAATTTTCTAAATCCGCCCCTGTGATAGGGTATAGAGCTGAAATCCTGAGGTTGTGAGTTCGTAACCCTCTGGCTCTCTGAGCAAGTCCCTTAACCCCTGATTTCACCCTGTATGCTGCACAGACAGCCCACTGCTTCCCAGAGGGGGTGTGTTAAATGCAAAGAGTTAACTTCTCCATTGTGAGATCAATAAAGTTCAATTTATTTATTATTTTATTGTAATCATATCCTCTTCAGTTTTGCAGACTGCTGGCAGGAAGCAGACTGTTCTCTTTACTGATAGGTTCAATGTTTGACCCAAGGACGCTCAGAAAGGATAAACCTGTCAGGCAGAAATATAGCTTTAAAAATGAAATAAATGTGTTTTAGAGGAATATCTGAATTCACAGTTTTCAGAAGGAAACAACCAGCTGTGTGCATCCAGAAAAGTCAATATTTCCCCACAGTTCTTGTTTAGAAATCGGAAACATTGTAGTTTCCCCATAATTCGACTGACGAAAACAGTTAGGTTTTCATAGCAGGAAGACTGGGAGCACAAAGTTCAGAGGCTCTTTCATATCTGAAACAATTTAATTACTTTGACTTTTAGTTAAACTTTACTTTCCAATTTTGGATGAAATGCCCTTTATGAGACTTTATTGACGTGACACCAAGGCACACGGAGGATTCGGTTTTTCTTCCCCCCCCCCCACCACATCCCAAGTTACCCTCCTGATCTCTCTATCTTCCCATCGCTCTATCTCACCTGCAAGATTGATGGTTTCATTTGCATTGGGAAAGTTACGCTGTGCCCTTTTAAGATTAATGAGACAACCCTTCACCTATAGGCCTCCTCCGCTGCTGTTCTCTTCCCTGCTTTAGCGTTCCACCTACTTCCATATTCTTCTTGCTTTGTCACCGTTTCCTCTGCTCTACATATAGAGTACATAAAAACAAAAAGCACGTTTCACCCCATTGGAAGCTTAACCTCTCCGTCAGTCATTAATCCTGTGTTTAGGTGACTTCATTTCAGATTAAAATATTATAAGGCATTGAAACGTGTGAGATTCAACTGTTGATGAAAAAATAGGGAATTTGGAGGCGTTTTCCTCCAATACGAGAAATCTGACTTACAGAAGTATTTAAATACAGCATTGTTCTCAACAGAGGTGAAAGTTGGTTTTTAATCTGTTAAAGATAGGCTCTGTGTCTACACCTTGAAGCTTTATCTCTCTGGTTCTTTTCCCTGAAGAGAGAACACTCGGGACAAACTCTTTAAATAACACTTCATAACTTATATGTATTAAATAACCATGAGACATGAAAACAGATTCTGATAGAAATTGTAATCTTATGGCCAATTTATGCTTCTGACGCATAGCCTCTGCAACCATCAAATCTGTCTTTGTGTGTGACCACGCCCCCCACGCAGAGGTTCTGCAGCTGTTGTCGCACACCTCAAAAAAATCCTGACCACACGTTGGACGGTTGCAAACCTGTGCAGACCTCAAGAGGAAGTGCGCAGACAAAAAGCAGCTGTGATTGGTCCTTGGTATGCCTTTCCGGCTGTTTGTGTGGTCGTCCTTCTCAATTCGGTGCCGGGGCGCTCCATTTTTAAAAAACGAGGAACAACTACAATGGAAAAGTATGACGAAAGGTTAATAAAGGAGGTTTGGAAGTACAAACACATGTACGATGCCTCAGACAAATTTGATAAAGATGCCAAAGTCTCTGCCAACTCCTGGAGGGAGATCAGCCAGAACCTGTTCCTCTTCAATGTCTAGCAACTCTAGATCCATCTCTGTGACCGTGATATCTTGCAAACGCACCATTGTTGTTTTGGAAGATAAACACTCCTTGTGACCATCCGCCAAAGGTCTTGTGAGTTCTCTAATAGGCTCCCCCTTGCGCATTGGCAGGAAACTGCTGTGCGTCCCTAGAAATTCCAGAACGACGGTGCAGAAGCATACCAGCAAAAGTGGTCCGCGACCAGACCCAAGCAACATTTGATGTGTGCGGTTGCAGAAGTATAATCTGCCCTTTAGTCTGATCAGAGAAGTTGCTTAGAGTTACAGAAGGCAGCTGCTTACCCCGGGCTGACCTCTCAGGAAGTGGCCCCGATTAACAGTTAAAAGGGCATTTTATACATCTCTAGTCTGCCACATCATTACAACATACACGGTAGCAGATGAGTAGACATCAATGGCTCCATCCTTATCAAAATATTATACTTTGTTCTTAGTTGAAACACGCCGCCTTCATTCCATTCCCAAATATTTGCCCTGTACAGAATGAAGATTATAACTGTATATCTGGACAGAGGAACTATCTTAAATAGATAAACTATTGAGGAAAACATAAATTCTGACACGCAACAGGCAGCTAATATTAGGGTGTAATAAACTCACACATCATTAATGATAATTATCCTAACAAATCCTTTGGTCTTTCACAAAATGAGATACTTAAAGATTTTTTTTTTTTACAAAAACAAAAAGAGTGAAGAAATGCAAAGGATTCATATTTACATGACATTTAATCTTTTCTAATTAGTTAATTACACAATTTGTAAATGGAGTTTAGTTTTTTAATAAAAAAAAATGCAATTCTGAAAATAAACCTTGCAAAAAGCCCTGATTGAAAAAAAATGTTTTTAAGATTAACTTTGCTTTTTTTCATAGATTCTGTTGTTTTCTAATCAATTTCATTCGAATTACTCTATTTTCAGATTGAGCTTCACAAATGGCAATCTTTATTATTGATATTAAAATAATCAACATCAGTATCAGACATAAAAAAACTGTCCTAGTAGATCTCATGTCATTTTGAATTCAGATCTGTCTTGTTTTAAACTCCTATTTATTTAAATTTTTTAAACCTTTTTTTTATTTACTTTTTCTTTAAGTTGTTTGTATGTATTCTTAAAATGTGTAACTATGTGTTAAATTTGAAACTAAAACATATAGTATAC